ACGTGTATTTTCAAGTAGAGCAACTCAGAAAGAGGCAGACAGCTCTGCAGCTTGCTCACCCCCTTGACAGGTACGTGAAATTTCACATATATTGGTTTTTCATGTAGAAAAGCAAATAAGAACTTACGAGCTTGCCTCAAAAAATATTTCGATTTACAATATTCACTATTTTTTCCATATATACCCCAGACTGTAACATGTGTAAAATGAAAATTTTTCCAATACATTACAGAATTTGCAAACTCTTCTTCAGTGCAAGCAAAGGCTGTGCTTGGAAACCTGCCATTTGGCAAGAAGAAAACCAGCTCAGTGTTTATTACTTATTTCAAAACTATGCACTTACTACAGCTTGTCCAAAGACAACTGCAAGCTGCTCAGAAGCAAGCAAGTCTCTTAGAAGGAAAGGGCAATCTTTACCAATCAGTAAATACACCTATGAAAGAAAAAAAAAAGAAAACAGATAACACCAGTAATTCAGTATACTTCTTTGTATTTCAAACATACAACTTGACTATTTCACCCAGTAACCATTTTCATTATTGTAAACACACTAATCAAACAAAACCTCCCAAATCCTTAAAAAGGCTTTAAATTCTGTAATTTCATGACAAATTAAAATTTAAGGAAGATATCAGGATGTTTGTACACATACTGCTCTTCTCTTCCAAAAAAAAAAAAAAAGTAAAGCACAACAGCAACACATAATTAAAGGAATAAACTCTACCCAGGACAGCATACTTCATTCTTACCCTAGAAATCCATAGAATCTGTCATTGTTAAAGGAAGGAGACTTGTGGTTTGTCTTCTGATTCTGGCTGTTACTTAAACTAGATTTCATCCTAGTTGGGCAATCTTAGCATCTCTAGTCTCAACTGCTGTGAAGCCTTCCATTCTATGTATTCTCCCTGACAGTTTTTCCAATCTTTGGTAATTTTTCATTACTTTAAAATTTACCACCCCTCATACTTGGGCAAATTGGTTTGTCTAGGTGTGTTCTTCGTGTCCATTGTTCTTTCTCTGGCATTTCCTTCTCCAGAGCTCCTCGCAGAGATTTAACAACCAGCTATTTTAGCTTATCTGTGGGCAATATACCCCAGCAGCAAAGCCTCTTAGAACAGCTGCTGCTCCCTTTTCCCTAACCTGCATGCCCATAAGTAGTGGTGGCATCTGTTTGTGTGGTCATGCAGTGAAGCAGATCAAGGAACTGATCCAGCTGAAAAACAAAAATGGGGGTAGGGAAAAAAGGTAGGAAGGTACCTGGACCTGTTCATCAATCTAGCTTGCTACTAGGCCTTCAAATATTTGCACTCACATAATGTATAGAATACCAGCAAACAAGGCAGATGGCTGCGAAGATTGATTAAACAAACTTAAGCAGTGCTACCACCAAATGTTGAACCATAGCCTAATTCATGTTCCATCAAAAAGGATTCACAATACAAGTTTCTTAACACCAGTCAGAATTCCTAAGCTGTATCACGTATGCACTCCTTGCCTCATGCTGGTCACGGAACTCCTGCAGTATTACTCTTTAAACTTAATAAGAGTGCATACCTTTATTACAGGGTAAAGGAAAGAGGGAATGTGTTAACAAGACAAACGTTCAGGACTACAAGATGGATCCCAGATCTATCCAGCTGATCAGTTAGGTCTAAAATTTAAGTTGTTAGCCGACTTCTAGATGTCTTTGTAGCACAAGACTCACATCGAAGCATTTAAACAGATGTACACTCTGCAAACAGAGCTCTGAGGAAAGAAGTTATTTAGCAGCCCATTTCCAGCTGCATGCTCCTGCCTCTCCTCACAGAAGTTACCACATCATCAGATCTTCTGTGGAATGTATGCTGCTCCCTGTTTCAGTTAAATAAATCAGAGCAACAAAGCCCTACCTTATGTATACTGATTGAGCAAACTTTTTAAATGAAATTGCTTAGTAACAGCACTCACACAAGCAACTCTACTAGCACAGGTGAATGAGCCCCAGAAGATGTTTCCATTAGCACAACCGGATCCAGAAAAGAACATCTCTCCAACTCAAAATGTAGCTGGGCTATTTGTGTACTACTACACTACAGGGTAAACTCACTTTTTCAGCATGCAATTAAATCCAAGAGCTCATTCCCATATTAGAAAATCAAATCTGCAATAGACTCCTCATGCTGGCACTTACATCACCCAAGGCTCGTTCCAAGCATGATGTTAGTTTCATTAAGCCAAGAGCAACTTCTGTAGTTTGTGTATGTTGTAGAACATCAAATACTTCAAGAAATAACTGTATGATGGGGGAGAGGAAGAATGTTGTGTTAAATATTTGGAAAAAAAAAAAAACTGTCAAAAGCACATAGAAACCTAAATATTCCTTCGTGGCAGTCACTATACAAATGTAGAAAGAGAATGATGCCAAGGAGATAAAACTGTAGATGCCTGGAAAGAAATTGCCCTAGGGCACCTCTTGTATTTTCAGTTACAATGTATCTAGTGCCTTACGTCTATAAAAATTATCAACAATAACTTTACACAGTAAAACTTGATATTAAGCACAGATTATTAGAAAAACAAAATCCTACCATCTTAGGTTAGAACAGGTCCAAAGCACCCCATGTTCTCTCTGTGATAACTTACACAAAATCTAATTACAAAGTCAGGAAAATTAGAAGCAACTACTTATCAGAGAAGGACAATTAGTTACAAATTCTAAGCATTTTGGTTCATTGATCTCTCTGGTGCGTTCTTACATTCTGCTTCCACAAAGGGTTCATGTGCCAAAATACAAACTGTCAACAGACACTTCCATACCTCTGTGTAGTTTGTCCAGTGGAACCATAATGCATACTGAATTACAAATTGGTCCTTGGTCAGAGATTTGAAGTGCAAATTAACAGATTCACATACAGGTCCTAATGATCTTATGCTTTTGATATAATCCACACTTTGATCTTAAATTGAAAAACAGAAGATGATTAGAGCACCAAACTTCCCAAAGGTCCAACATTTTAAAATTCACAAGGATTAAAACCTGCTCCAGCTTGTGTACGTATTTAGCACAGAGAATTTTATCCAGACTATTTTAGCATGACTAATACACTACAGTTTACTGTCCAAAAGACCACACAGATAAGATATAGAAAAGTAAAAGTGCAGTGTAAAACCAGGTAAGATCGAGTACCTTCTCCAAAGTAAAAAAAAAAACAAAACAAAACAAAACAAACCCCACAACTTATTGCAAGAAAATATGGAAGTCAAGAGGATTATTATGTTCTGGTTTTGTTTAAATGGGAAGAACCCACTAGACTACATAAATTCCACGTAACTAAGCTGGAAGCTAGTGCAGGCTCAGAGGGGTCAGTCAAGTTGTACCACTTACACCCTTTAAAGAACACAGATGGACGTGGTGCCTTACAGAGTGGTATCACTGCTCCTCTTTGGTGGGACACTTATATAGGAAAATAAATCCTTGTGATTTACTGAAAGATATTGCTTGAGTCAGAAACATGTACCGTTTTCACCATCTCTGGAAATTATTAACAGAGCTTGCATGATGTAATTTGGCAAATTAAAATTCAATGAGTTCATCAGGGCATAAATACTTTCTTTTCGTTAAAAAACAATTATAAACTGTTCTATACACAGAAGGGAAACCAAACAGTACTTCTGTACAAGCTAAAATTGGGGAAACAAAAACAGAAGCAACAGTAGGAATACTGATGGCCCCAGAGTGTTTTAAATTTGCTGCAAAAGGAATATAAAGAACACAGAAGAAAGCAATTATGAGGCAGGAGAGAAGCAGAACAGGCACATGAAGTTGGGAACCAAGATGAATGAGGAAGCAAAGGAGCAGCTACTTATGTAGCACAGATTACATGAATCTTAGGAGCCAGGAATAACCACATACCAAATGTGGATGAAAAATTTAAAGCTCCTTGTAGATATGAACTGTAAGTACTTTAATCTGCAGCAAAGCTAATGCTGTCATGTAATAAAATGTTATAACTAAGCTAGGATTGCTATGAACTGTACTGAGATTCTGCATCAGTCTTAAATGTATCACCACTACAGCAGGTAAACACCAACCTGATTCAAGGTAACACACATGCTCTGTAACAGCTTGCCAGCATACTTCACCATTTTCAGACAAAATGTTATTAATATCATAGGTGTCTTTTTTCTCAAATCCAAGTTTGCAAATCACATAGTGCACAGGTGGAGAAAGACAAGTAGTGACTGAGTCTGATGCCATCTAGAACACAAAAAAAAAAGAGTCCTTGCATTAAGGAAGTACATGAGAACAAAGAAAATTATTATTAAAGCATACCCATAAGCACAGATATACAGATAATAATACAGCATCTGTAAACAAGTGGTTAAGTTTTGCAATGCAACTTTCATCTATGCATGTGATTAAAGGAACTCTTTGAGCAGAACCACCTTGTGGAAAACTGAGGGGAAAGAGGAGGGAAAGAATTGCTCTATTTGCATAATGCCAGGATGGTATATTTCTGAATGGCTTTATCTACTAAACCGATGCCAAGACAGACTGAAGCAAAAGATCTCAGTTTATATATATGTTCTGCCTAATCTGTGAGCTTGCAGGGAAACTGATGCTACTTCAAGTAAAACCAAGAGCTTTAGTCCTTATGACCAGCAAAATCATTGGTAGGGGGAACACGTGAATTCTGCATGAACTGGTAGTAACGGCAGAACAATCTACGCATAGATGTTATTTGCATATTAGTCTAAACAGAAAGATGGACTGATTCAGAAGCACACATTTAAATTAAAGAATTTGCAAAGATAAAACTGCTCACGCTAACGAGGAGGAATATGTTTCTGATTTAGTAAAAAAAGTCAGCTTCATCAATAATCAAACAGAAAAGACAGACAAGAATTGTTTGAAAATGAAGGATCACAACAAATACAAGACAATTCCATTAGATTAAAAAAAAAACACCTCTTCAATTAGGTGGTGGAACTGACCCTCACAGTACATAATTTCTGAATTCATGGCTTCAAAGAGAGACTACATAGTTATACGGGTAACAGCACAGAGCAAGTATGACAGTTTCTATAATGAACAGGTATGAGGTGCCATCAGGAGTATCCTATCTGCTATTAAAAAAATAATCTAAAATGTTCATGAAACACATAACTCAGCCCTTCACCTTATTCTGAGGCACCCCACGTTTCACTGTCAGAGACAGGAGGCCAGAGCAAAGCTTGAACTACGGCAGCCACCCTTTATTGTCCAAAACAGCGCAGACAAGGAGCAGGTAGCTGACTTTTTCAGGGAGACTGCGTGACCAAGTCCCGGGCTTCCGCTGGTGA